CGTGACCAAGATCCCGAGAGGAGAATGGAGGAGAAGGGATTGCAGTGTGACCATCCCCCCTTGGGGGGTGATTTCTCGCTTTCTGTCTCTCTGTCTCTCTCTGTCTGGCGAGTGCACGCGCCCTATAGCGAAAACCTCTCCAAAAAAAAAGAAAACTACAGAAAGAAGAATAATATAGGCTAATAATGAGCAGAGGGGGGAAGGGAACAAAAATTAGTGAAATCAGTGAAATTGAAAACAGGAAATCAATGAAACTGAAAGCTGGTTCTATGAAAGTCACTAAAACTGCAAGCCCCTTGGCAGGCTAAGGAAAAAAAAGAAGACATTAAAAAAAACAGAAAAGGAAGAGAGGAGGCTAAATGGGAGAGCAGTAATGCCATTGAACCCATATGGGAAGGTCCTGAGTTCATGTCTGGAGGACTCTCTCTGCACAGTAGATATGTGAGCATGCTTGTCAGCCAGAAGTGGATCATGGTGTCAGGACCCTCTTAGGAGTGCCTGTCTCTCTCTCTCCCTCTCTCGTTTAAGAAATATGTATGCTTGGGAACCAGCAGTTAGCGTAATGGCTATGTCTCTGGACTCCCATGTAGTCAACCGCGGTTCGAGTCCCGGACCCAGTGGCTTGGAACTCACGCCGGGCACATGTGCATGCGTGCCCAAGATCCCGAGAGGAGAATGGAGGAGAAGGGATTGCGGCGTGACCATCCCCTCTGAGGGGTGATTTCTCGCTTTCTGTCTCTATGTCTCTCTCTGTCTGTCTGGCGAGCGCAGGTGCCCTATAGCGAAAATCTCTCCAAAAAAAACAAAAGAAAAAAGAAATACGTATACTGGAAGAAAAGTTCTTTCCTTTCCGTCTGGTGGCAGCCATCAGGTAACCCAAGATGGGCGTGTCCATCCAGGAGCTGTGGCAGAAGAAGCAGTCTGACATGATGCGCTTTCTCCTGAGGGTCGGCTGCGGGCAGAACCGCCAGCTCTCCGCGCTACACCGGGCGCTCCTCCCCACCGCTCCGAAAAGCGAGCAGACTGGGCTACAAGGCGAAGCAAGGTTATGTCATATACAGGATTCGTGTGCAGCGTGGAGGCCGCAAACACTCAGTCCCCAAGGGTGCAACCTATGGCAAGCCTGTCCATCACGGTGTTAACCAGCTCGTTTGCCCAAGCCTCCAGTCTATTGCAGAGGAGCGAGCTGGACGCCACTGTGGGGCTCTTAGAGTCCTGAATTCTTACTGAGTGGGTGAAGGTGCCACATACAAATTCTTTGAGGTTATCCTCATTGATACATTCCATAAAGCTATCAGAAGAAATCCTGACACCCAGTCCCCAAGCACAGGGAGACGTGGGCTGACATCCACAGGGCACAAGAGCCGAGGCCTTGGAAAGAGTCACAAGTTCTGCCACACTATTGGTGGCTCTCTGTGCAGCTTGGAGAAGGTGCAATACTCTCCAGCTCCACCGTTACCGCTAACCAAAGAAATGTTTATAAAATTCATACCTAATGAACAATTTAGGACAGTCAAAAAAAAATTAAAGTAAGTATACTTGTTTTTAAAGAGATGTTTTTGCTATAGGGCATGTTGCTGGAGAGATAAAGAGACAGAAAGCAAGAAATCACCCCTCAGGAGGGATGGCTACACCACAATCCTTTCTCTTTTATTCTCCTCTCCGAATTTTGGGCACATACACACACATGCTCAGCGTGAGTTTTAGCTGCCGGGTCCAGGACTTGAACTGCAGTCAACTAAGTGGGAGTCCAGCAATGTAACCACTACTCCATTTGCTGGTCACATAAGTAAACTTTTAAAAAATGAGGGGCCGGCAGGTGGCATGGTGGTTAAGGTGCTGGGTTCCCACATGGCTGACCATGGTTCAAGTACTGGACCTAGAAGCTTGCTTTCCTACTTTCCTTTTCTCTCTGTCTCTCTCTGGTCAAACTGAACAAATAATAATGATGATAAGTGAAATAAAATAATTCTAAAAAAATCTCTGTGGCCTGGTGATTAAGGATGGATGGATCCTACATGGCCAACCTCAAGGTTGGCGTTCCAGACCCCACAGCTTGAGAAACACATTGCACGCATGTTCCTAAAATCCCTAAAGGAGAGAAAAATGAAGAAGGGATTGCAGTGTGGTGCTCCATGGGAGGTACTTTCTTGCTTTCCCTTTCTCCATCTCTGTCTCTGTCTCCTCTGAGTGCATTCACTCTCTGGAAAAATTTTAAAAATAAATATAAAAGTCAATGACTTTGTTGTAGACAGGAGTCTGAAGACTGCAGCCTATGGGCCAGATCTAGCCCACTGCCTGTTTTCGCAAATGAAGTTTTATTGGAGCATAGATCAAACCTGTGAACCACTGTCGGCAGTGTGGGAGTCCAGAATTAATTGCTACGCCACCTACTGGCCCCCAAAGACCCAATTTTTTAAAATTATTTATTTAATTTTATTTATTCATTCATCTATTTTGACCAGACAGAGAGGGAAAGTGAGAAAGCGAGCCACCAGGTCCAGGACTCAAACCATAGTCGGCCATGTGTGAGTATCCAGCGCTCAAACCACCACGCCACCTGGTGGCCCCCAAAAGACCCAATTTTTATAGAAACAAATATAAGTTGTTTAGACATAAATCTCATAATATGTAATAACTATTATACAAAACCTCACAACTGTTCATGTAGATATAAAAGATGTAAATGAATTATGCATTTTATTTTTAAAATCTTGCTGCAGGACATGTACACTTGCTGGAGAGAGAGAAAGAGAAAGCACCCTCCAGGAGGTATGACCATGCCATAATCCCTTCTCCATATTTCTCTCAAGATTTTGTGGGGCCGGCAGGTGGCATGGTAGTTAAAGGCACTGGACTCCCACGTGGCTGACCATGATTTGAGTCCCAGACCTGCTGGTGGCATGGTGGTCAAAGGTGTGGGACTCCCACATGGCTGACCATGGTTTGAGTCCTGGACCTGGTGGCTTGCTTTCTCACTCCCCTCCCCTTGCTCTGTCCCTCTCTGGTCAAATTAAAATAAATCAATAAAGTTGACTAAAATAATTCTTGGAAAAAAAAAAAAAAGATTTGGGGGATTCATGTACACATGCCCACTGTGGTTTTCAAGTCATTGGATTGGAGACTTAAACCACAGCCATGTGGGATCCAGACGCCTTAACCACCATACCGTCTAGCTGGCCTTTGTATTTTATTTTTGATAGAAAAACTAAAGCAAGGGGCCAGCAAGTGGTGTGGTAGTTAAAGTGCTGGATTCCCACATAGTCAGCTGCAGTTTGAGTCCTAGACCCAGCAGCTTGAAAAATCACAATAAATAAATAGATTTAAAAAAAAATAAAAACTAAAGTAAGATTTCTCTAATCTGTCAATAACATCCAGCCAAAGACTAGCAGGAGGAAGTCTATAGTTTAACAAACTGGAATTACTACTCTCACACTGTAGGACATCTCAGTAAGAGAGTGTCAGAAAGAACTTATAGGGGACCAGCAGTTAGCATAATGGCTATGTCGCTGGACTCCCACGTAGTCGACCACAGTTCGAGTCCTGGACCCGGTGGCTTAAACTCACGCCAGGTGTGTGTGTGCGTGCCCAAGATCCTGAGAGAACGGAGGAGAAGGGACTGCGGCGTGGCCATCCCCCCTGGGGGGTGATTTCTCGCTTTCTGTCTCTCTGTCTCTCTCTGTCTGGCGAGCGCACGCGCCCTATAGCAAAAACCTCTCCAAAAAAAAAAAAAAAAGGAAAAAAACCAGACTTATAGGAGAGCCAGCTCTATACCACAAAAGTTGATCACTGTGCGGAAGTTGGATCCCACAGGGCCAACCAGGTGACCCTGACCCTGGTGGACCCCAGGCACTTGTGCATATGTTCAGGATACTGATGGGGTGGAGAATTAGAGGACAAAGGATTTTGTCTCCATTGACCAGGCCCAATGGGTGTGTGTATGTGTGTGTGTGTGTGTGTGCTTTCTCTTTCTCTTTTGCACATGTGCCCTCTCACATAATGAAAAAAGAAAAGATTAATAGATTTTGTTTGATGATTTGAGAAAGAATTTAAGGAAGCAGAGCTTTTCTCTGGGTTAAGTGCAGTCATAAATGGGATTGCAGTGGCACCCACTGGTGAGACCCTGCTGTCTCCAGGTTGGGACAAATGGGAGGCCTAGGTTCAATTTGTGAGACAACCTAAAAGCCACAAGTGGTGACATACACTAATGGTCCATCTACATGGGACGCTGAGGCATAAAAAAAAAGAGAAAGTGTTAACTATGATGGGATATGTTAATAAATCTTAACTAGAAAGAGAAAATACTAGATGGAATAAGCTGTAATTGGTAAATAGTAGTCAGTAGTAAATTATTTTTTTAAAAAAAGAATGGTGTACATTATCATAAAAAGTGAGGTGGCTTTGTCATTGTGATTTGAACAATGCTTACGTTTTATTAGTGTTCAGACATGATTTTGGAGTAACATTTTTTATGGCTTGTTTTGGTTTCTGTCCTACTCTCTCAGGTGACAGACATTCATGTTCTCTGAAATTGTTTATGTTCAAAATAACACCAAGGCCAACTCCTGGATGTCCGGTGATGATTTTCTTTTCCTCAAATCTATAAAGTAAATGCAGTTTAAATCCAAATTACGAGTTTTATTATGTGTTTGTTTTATCAGAGAACTTGACAAAACATATCTAAGGTGGGTATCTGAAAAAATAGTATTAGATAAAAATTAAGAAACAAAAAAAATTTAATGAAAAGATATAAAGAGAAAATACAATACATTTAAATACGAAAAAAAAAATAAGTCTTCTATACAGCAATCACTACACAGAGGTTTACAAGACAAACCGCAAACTGGGTAAACTATCTTAAAACACATTAGAGAAAAGGGTTAGTCGATGTCCCTGATCAACTAAAAATAAATAACCTACCTACCAACCTAACTAAAAGGCGTACTTTCCTGAATCTAACATGTGCCATTAAAAATACACTAAAAAAAAAAAAAAAAAAAAAAAGGCGGGAACTTGAAAGGCAGGGAATGTGTTCGGGAAAAGACTACATTTCCCATGAGGCTCTGCTCTACCGCGTCCCGAGAGGCCCTGCGCGATCTAGGCGCCAGCTTTGGCCTCAGGCCGGGAGCCACAGAATCGCGGCGTTAGAATGGAGGGCAGGGACGGGGCGACTGTTGAGAAGCACCGCGTCCACTTGCGCCCCGCCACGCTGCGCGACGCCGCCCCCGCCACGCTGCACCTACTGCCCTGCGAAATCTCGGTGAACCGGCCCGCCCCAGTGGAGCGCTTCTTCACGCCCGCCATCCGCCGAGGGCCTGACGGTGAGCCGCGGGCGGACCACAACACCCGGCAGCCCCCGCGCCCCTCCTCGCAAGGCCTCCTGGTCCACCCAGAGGGGAGAGGATCCGCTCTGGGCTCTGTCCCCTGGGGCCTGGCCTAGAACCTGGGTCAGACCTGACAGGGCTCGTGCCTCCCTCTTTCAGGACTCGAAGTGTCGTTTCGGGGTCGCCGTCTGCGAGGCGAAGACGTGATGGTACCATCCGGCCTCGTGGGATACGTGATGACGATGGAAGAGAAGGGCGAAGTGTTGATGGGAAAGCAGGAGGCGCTGGAGCGAGACTCCGTGAGCAGAGGGTAGGGTTGGAAGGGGGCGCGGGCCGGAGCTGTGGTTCAGATGCTGAGCCTGGCCTCTTTCCCAGGACTGCTTTATGGAGGCCACCGCCAGTTTCAATCGCTTCACCCTGTGGGGCCTTGAGGCCATCCCAGGCTCAGATGCCAAAATGCGTGGGGCTTTAACCTGGCCCAGCCTCGCAGCAGCGGTGAGTAGAGGTGGACTCCCTTCCTCCTAGGCCTCATCTATTACCCCTCTCTGAATCTTGCCCGAATGGATTTGATGCTTTAGGACTGGGGGGCACTTCAGGACAGATTTTTGTCTGCATAATTGAAGACTAAGTTGTGTGAAAAGCTCGGTTGGCTTCTACACCACTCTTCTCTGTCTAGCAGTGGGCTTAACTCCTGGGAAAATGGGACTCTTGGCCACTGTATCTCAGAAATCTAACAGTAGAGATAACTCCTGTTGCAGATTCACTCCCAGGTGCCAGAGGACTGAGAACCAGAGCTTGACACCAAAAGCCACTGATATCTCCACACCAGTAAACCAGCTCAAGTTGGAGCCACTGATTCCATCATCCCAATAAATGAGCTCTTCACAGCACCTGTGAGTCTGTAGGCACTTTGGAGCCCCCAAAACCATCATGGCCCCCTCTCCCACAGCAAAAACCTTTCATGGCTCTGGCCTATAAACAATTTATTGCCAGGAGGGCAAGAGAGGCCAGAACTTTGCAGCCAATTCCCACCCTAACTCCTACTTTACAAAAGAAATTTTTACAACCCTCCAACCCTCTGTACAGAGTGTCCCACCCCCCTATCTCACTATACACAGCTGCCTGGCTCCCTCTGGTCCCTGGTTCAGAGCAAGTCTGGGCTGTAGCCAAATGACCCTGGAGCTAGCCTGAACTCTGAGCTCGCCTTGGTGCTGGGTACCAGCTGACTTCTGCAAGGCTTGTCTCCTCCTTTTGGAGCAGTCTTCAGTCCCAACTTTGTTGCCATGCCTCTTGGGAGCCCTACTGGGGGCAAGATGGGCCATCAATCTCAGTTCTGTCACTTTCTTGGCACTGCAATGAGTAGTGCCAGTCACCACTTTCCCCTCTTGCTCCAGTCCTTGGGAGTGAAGTGCAGACACTTGGAGTCGATTCGAAGGAGCCGTTTGAGCATAGCTCGCTCATGCCCATCCACGATGTCCTCTGACAGTGTGAGAATATACTGGCCCTGTACGGGAAGAGATGGCCCAACAAGTGGTCAGTCCACGTGGGGCTTGCACCACGCAGCCCACACCTGTCTCCCCTTGCCTGCCTCCCTACCTTATAGTAGTTGATGAGGTTGAGGTACTGCAAGGTAGAGATAACATCCTCCTTCTTGATACTGGTGATTTCACTGATCTCACTGTGGGAGGGCAAAGGTCAGGTTCCCTGAGGGCCTTCACCTGTCCCCAGGAGCCCCAGGAGGGAATATGACAGCAGGAGGAAAGACAGGCCATGCCATGCCATGCACCCCCAGGTAGGTGGGGCTGGGCTCACTTGATGGTGATCTGTGGCCTCTCCCCGCTCTCCGACTTCAGACCCATCAGGATCTCCAGGATGGTCTGGGACCAGTAACTTCGATAAGACAGGAGGCCAAGATCCGAGAGGGGCTTCTCGGGGGTCCCTGTTTTCCCTTCCACTTTGGAAAGTTCATAGCCTACAGCAGTGAAACAGGAGTAAGTGGGTAAGCAGATAGATGAACACAAGCAACATTATTTATTTATTTATTTAGAGGTTTTTGCTATGGGGCGCGTGCGCTCACTAGACAGAAAGACACAGACAGGCAGAAGGCAAGAAATCTCCCCCCAGGGGGATGGCCACACCGCAATCCCTTCTCCTCCATTCTCCTCTCGGGATCTTGGGCACGCACGCACATGCGCCTGGTGAGTTTTAAGCCACCGGGTCCGGGACGCGAACCACGGTCGACTACGTGGGAGTCTAGTGACATAGCCATTATACTAACTGCTGGTCCCTTTTTTTTTTTTTAAGAATTCTTTATTTAATTTTATTTATTCATTTTACTTTAATTTGACAAGAGGACACAGAGAGAAAGAGAGAAAGCAAGCTACTAGGTCGGGGACTTGAACCATGTCAGCTATGGGGAGTGTCCAGCGCCTTAACCACCATGCCACCTGCTGGTCCTACAAGCAACATTTTAAGAACGTGGGCTGCAGAGGTAGGCTACCTAGTTCCTTCCCATCTTGGCCTTGTCACCTGGTAGTTCTCTGACTTTGGGTATGTGGCTTCTCTGTTCTGCACCTCAGTTCCCTCATAAAGGACTAATGAACAGTCTCTCTCTGTGAGCTGAGTACAGTGAGGGTGCAGAGGGTACTATTAGCAGCAGCTACAGTCCATTTGAGGGTTGCTCAAAAGCCCTTGGATGCTTTATGGAATGCTGAGGAAACAGCTCATGGGAACAAAGTGCCACCTGTTTTCCTCTGCCATCCCAGACTCTGAGTGTCTGGGGTGTGAGGAGAAGTGGACAGACCCCCATTTCTGGTCCAAGCCTGCAGTTACTTGAATTCTCTGTCAAACAGTCCCCCTAGCTGTGACTTAGGAAGTGTCAGTTCTAAGACCAGGGTGGGTTGACGATGGTTGTAATGACGCAAAGAGAGAACCTGCACCAAGGTACCTACCAAGTCAGAGAGAGCCAGTTACTCAGAATCAGATAAATAGTCTCTCCCATGGCTCTACTTCTCCCCCTCGTGCAGCTGACGGGTACTGCAGGCAGTTCCTGGGGAGACTCTCAGGCCCTGCAAAGCCGAGCAGCTTCACATCTCTTTGGCAGGATTTTTACTCTCCCCTTTCAGAGCCCTGGGATGTCTCTGCTACCTCCAGAGCCATTCCTCATCTTTAGCCATATCAAGCCTCGTCGCAGGCTTTAGCCTTTCTATCTTCCTGCCTGTGGTATTTCTTTTATCCATTAGTCTTACCCTCTTGCCCAGTCCCCTGTGACTTCCATCAGGTAGCTCAGTGATAATAGAGAGAGAGAGGCTGTTCAGAAAGACGATGCACAGAAGGAAAAAGGGGCCATTTTCGTTCCTACTCCAGACAGATCAACTGGAGGCCACACTCGCCTCCTCAGCCACAGGGAGCACACACCCGTCCTCTGAACTGCCCAAAACGGTGCTTCCAGTGCCCTCTCTGACCCTGCTGTGCAGAACTGAGCACACCTCTTTGGCACCCTGCCTACATCCATCTCCACTGTGGTCTAAGCTCCAAAACTGAATTGGACTATGTCTTTAAGCTGCATCTGCAGCAGGTTCAGAGCCTCTGGAGGATGGGACCCCATGTTGGCATCATTTAGTCAATAAAGTTTCTCAACTGGACTGTGACCTAGATCAGGTCAAACCTCTGTCTTCACTAGGCACAGGGTGAAGCTTGGTTATTCCGAGGGTTCAAAAAGGGCAGAAGTGAATAGGATGGGAGGCACATGGAAGTAAGAGGCTGGGAAGCAGAAAGGGCCCTGAGGGTTGGGGGCGGGCACTGAAAAGCCCTGTACCATGAGGGGCAGATTCCTTTCTGGATTTTAAGAGACTGTCCGGAATCCAAAGAACAAGGGACAGATCCATGCTCACACTTTTGCTGAGTTAACAGCATTTTGAACCCCTGTTGCCTACAGGCTCAGGCAACAAGTGGGGAAATTTACCACTCTGCTAAGAACCTGTGTACAGACAGAAGAGCAGTTCTCTAAGCTTCTGCCCATGGCCTTAGGCAGGAACAGATGAGTCAGATTTGGGAACAGTTATGTGATACTTTGAACCCTGGCTAAGGAACAGCAAGGGACTCCAGACAAGTAGGCAGTCACCAGGGAATGGAGAGAGCCCTGGCAAAAGCTCAGATTTATTTCTGGCTAGCGCTCTGGTGTGGGCTACACACCCAGGGTTGAGAATCACAGCAACCTGGCACATCTGTACATGAGACACTGATGGTGAGCATAATACCGGCAGGCTTGGGCCTGCCGGTCCCACCCTGGCCCCTGGCTGGGCAGCACACATACTCACTGAACTCAATCAGCAGCTTGCCGTAGCCCCGACGCTGGTAGGGAGGCAAGGTCAGGATGCAGGCTACGTTGTAGTCTTCTGTTGACTCCTTTTCCTACAAAAGATGGGCACGTGAGTGTGCAGGAAGGGACCTGGCTCAGGAAGAGGGTCACAGGACACCCAAGTGAGCACTGACCTTGGAGAAGTAGCCCACAATGTGGAAGCCCTTGCAGTCATACTCAGTCATGACGTAGAAGAGGAAGGGATCTGTGTCGTAGTACAATGTTTTGTGGTCGAGGAAACACTTGGCCAAAAGACACAGATTCTGGGAATAACTCTGCAAAGGAAAAGGCCTGTCATCACTCACCCTGTCTTCAGGGTGGCCACATGTCTAGGGTCAGCCAGGAGCTTCTTTGTGCTGTTTCCAGGCTGACAGGTAACAAGTGTTTCTCCCTGGGAACTGGCCTTGGGCTGTCCCTGCCACTCTGGCAGAGCCACTTCTCAGTGTCAAGCCTGCATACTACAGCTCTGCAATGGCGTCTGACTGCTCGCCTCCCAGGTTAGCTGGGTAGTTATCCCTGCTCCCTATGCCTAAGCCAGGCCTGGGAGACCTCCACTGCCACCTGCCACAGTTAACAAGTCAGCCAACTGGCATGTCCCCGTCAAGTCACTCTGACCACAGCTCATGAGAGAAGGTCTCCCTGAGTAAGTCTTTGGAGTCTGGCTGTCAAAACACCCAACTCACACAGACATACCTCCTGGGAACTGATTTGCCATTCTATGGGAAGAAAGAATTCTGAAATGTAATAAAGTAACAAACTTAAGGGTCTCTCTGACAGAATTATAAATCTTATTGCTTTACCTCTACCCACAACATCTCTTACATTTCAGACATGGTTTCTTTTAAAGAATTATTTACTTGGGGCCAACAAGTGACATGGTGCTTAAGGGCACTGGACTCCCACACTGCCGACTGTGGTTCAAGTCCTGGACATGGCAGCTTGCTTTCTCTTTTTTTTTTTTTGGAGAGGTTTTTGCTATAGGGCATGTGCGCTCGCCAGAGAGACAAAGAGACAGAAAGCGAGAAATCACCCCCAGGGGGGATGGCCATGCCACAGTCCCTTCTCCTCCATTCTCCTCTCAGGATCTTGGGCACGCACATACACGTGCCCGGTGTGAGTTTAAGCCACTGGGTCCAGGACTCGAACTGCGGTCAACTACATGGAGTCCAGTGACATAGCCATTATGCTAACTGCTGGTCCCGCGACTTGCTTTCTCACTTTCCCTCTCTCACTCTGTCCCTCTCTGGTCAAATTAAAATAAATAAATAAGGTTAAATAAAATAAAAATAAATAAGAATTATTTCCTTAATTTGGGGAACAATGTTTGTCCCACAGAGTCGACAACAGTTCAAGTCCTAGACCTGGCAGCTTAAAAAACTCATGCCATGGGGCCAGCAGGTGATGTGGTAGTTAAAGGCACTGGATTCCCACGTGGCTGACACTGGCTCAAGTCTTGAACCTGGCAACTTGCTCTCTGTCTCCGTCTAGTCAAGGTAAAAAAATAACAACAAATGGAATTACATAAATAATTCTTTGGGAGAAAAAAAAGAAAACCTTGGGACCAGCAGATGGCGTAATGGCTATGCTGCTGGACTCCCATGTAGTTGACTGCGGTTCGAGTCCTGGACCTGGTGGCTTAAACTCATGCTGGGCTCATGTGAGTGCACATCCAAGATCCCAAGAGGAGAATAGAGAAGGGATTGCAGCATGACCATCCCCCCAGGGGGTGATTTCTCGCTTTCTGTCTCCGTCTCTGTCTTTCTGGCAAGCGCACGCACCCTATAGCAAAAATTCTCCCCCTCCCCCCCAAAAAAACCTCACACTGGGCTCATGTGTATGCATGTCCGAAATCCCAAGAGAATAATGGAGAGGGGATTGCAGCATGGCCATCCCTGCTGGGGGGTGATTTCTCACTTTCTGATTTTCTCTCTGGCAAGCACATACACTCTGTAACGAAAATCTAAAAAACAAATTGGGACCAGCAAATGGCATGGTGGTTAAGGCACTAGGCTTTCCCACATGGCACGGTTTGAGTCCTGGACCTGGTGGTTTGCTTTCCCACTTTCCCTCTTTGTCTCTCTCTCTGGTCAAATTATAACAAATGAAAATAAATAAAACTAAATAAATAATTTTTAAAAACTATTTCTCTAATTTTATCAATCATTATTTTTAATTTCTACAGGGTGGGGCCAGCAGGAGGCATAGCGGTTAATGTGCTGGATTCCCACATGGCTGACCGTGGTTCAAGTCCCAGACTTGGCAGCTTGCTTTCTCACTTTCCCTTTCTTCATCTCTGGTCAAATTAAACAACAGCAACAACAACAACAAATAAAATTATATCAATTTTTTTTTTGGAGGTTTTTGCTATAGGGCGCATGCGCTCGCCAGAAAGAGAGAGAGAGAGTGAGAAATCACCCCCTTGGGGGGATGGCCACGCCGCAATCCCTTCTCCTCCAATCTCCTCTTGGGATCCTGGGCACACATGCACATGTGCCTGGCGTGAGTTTAAGCCACTGGGTCCAGGATTCAAACTGCAGTCGGCTACATGGGAGTCCAGCGACATAGCCGTTACGCCAACTGTTGGTCTTGAAATCTAATTCTTAAAAAAAAAAAAAAAAGCTACAGGGCACATGTGCTCACCTGATAGACACAAGAGAGAGAGGGAAAGTAAAAAAGCAAACTGCCAGGTCTGGGACTCAAACCATGGCTGGCCACATGAGAATCCAACACCTTAACCACCATGCCAGCTGCTGGACCCCAGACATGGCTTTTTAACCACCGCCTGGGCACTGCCACTTGGATGCCCAGGTCTATGCTTAATAATATAAACAGTGGTCAGGGCAGCATCTTTCCCTTAAACATCCCCAACCACCCAAACCAGAGCTATCTCCCTGATCTTCCAGGTGCCTACTTCTCCCTCCCTGCTCTCGTGGCCCAAAGAACGGGAGTCTTGCTCTCACCAGTCTCCAGATGTTTTCCTCCTTCCTTCCCCAGAGCCACAGACCCAAACCTGCAGAGGTTCCCATTTCTCCCCTACTGACCTCATTCCTATCACCTGAGCTCTGTCTATGTAATAGCCTAGTCTCACCCTTTCTTCCTTGCCTTTCAGCCAGAATGATCTTTGCCTTTTACACACACTATCTCTATATAGCTATGCTTGCTCCTCAGAACCCAACTGCTTGGAATTTTCTCACTACTTTAAGAGAAATTAACTGCTGGGCTGGCAGGTGGCATTGTGGTTAAGGTGCTGGACTCCCACATAGCCAACTGTGGTTTGGGTCCCAGGCCTGGCAGCTTGCTTTCTCATTCTTTTTGTTTCTCTCTGGTGAGTACATGTGCCCTATGACAGACTTTAAATTAATAATAATAAATAAAATTAAATAATTCTTTAAAAAAAAATAAATTGCTTGCTTCTTTTGTTGTTGTCACCAGAGTAATCTCCAATGGAGCACAGTCATGCCATAATCCCTTTTCCACTTCTCTGTCCTGTCAGGACTCAGGCACACATATATACATACCCGGTGTGTTTTTTAAGCCAGCTGGCTCTGGACTGCAGTTGGCCATGTGGGATCTGGCTCCTCACACACAGTGCTTAACTACTGTGCTATGGAGGCAGCCTCCCTCACCCATTTTACCTTCATGTCAAGCCTGAAGCTTTGCTAACCTACTCTTCGTTTCATGACACATCACCGTGGGATCTTAGTAGCCACTGACATGTCTGTATTTTCCATGGAACTAAGCTCTCAGAAAATAGACTCTGTCTAATCCCTGGTCACTGGTGTACCCTGAGCATCTGCCATATGCAGAAACTCAACAAAAATGGGCTGAAGTGATCTTCTGGACAAAGTCATCAGTGTTTTCCTGAGTAGGAAGAAGCAGCTTATTTGATTTACCCCAAATCCCCCACTTCCCCTCAGTCACTGACCTTATTTTTACGTCCATCAATCTCAAAGAAGGAGATGGTGCCTTTGCGATAAATCTCATTCCCTGGAGGATGTCGCAGGTCACACTTGGTCTGAAGAAGAGAGGAAGATCAGGGGCAAGACCGGGGTGGGAATGCTGGGAGGGTGGCCTCCTAGGACCCTTCCTACCAAGTGACGTTGTAGACACTTGAGGCTACGGCCATACTTGAGGCAGAACTCGCACAGGTAGAGGACAGGCAACGTGGTGAGCTCCTGTGGGTATGGAGAGAAGTACCACGGCTTGAGGCGGTGACGGCCCAGCTCAATACACTCAATGTTCTTCATCCGGGTGACAATGTCGTCGTGGCTACGGTCAGACACCAGGCTACCAGTCATGCGTGGCGCAGATGGTATTCCATCAGAGCTGTCCTGAGAGTCCTGCCCAAGACCGGGGGAAGACATCAGTTACAGCAAACAGCTACACTATGATTCATAGCCCTTCTAAGGGTCTCCTTTTCCAAGCCTAACAGCAACCTTGTAAGAAAAATACTGCAATTCCTACTTCCCAAATAAAGACACCAAAACCCTGCAAGACTGTTAACTTGGAAAAGATCACCCTGTAGCTGACCTGAACCATGCTCTGACCAGCTCCTAATCCTACCAACACCATTACTGCCCACCACCCCCTCAATTTTCCAACCTGCCTACATGCTCTGTTCACCCACATTCACTTTTCCTCTGCTCCCCAGACCCACCTCATCAGTGCCCAAGCAATTCGATTTTCGCTTCCGTCCTGGCTGAGCTGCCACTGCCCTACGGGCTGATCCATTCTGCAAGTGAGATGGTAAGAATAAAAGAAATAGCTGTGAGATGAGCCTAAAAAAGGCTTCCACGGGTAAAAGAGAGAAAAAGACTGGGGGACTCACCTGGGGAAAAACTGACGCTGGGGCTGTCTCGCTGGGCACTGGAGTTGCTGGTGAAACCACCTCCACCTTCCGTTTCTGCAGAGAGAAACCAAGAAAGGTGGGTCAGAAGGTAGAGAAGGTGGGACCTAAGAGGAAAGCAAGGTCCCTGGAATTGCTGAGGGTACCGTTGAGCGGTGATTGGGCTGCAGGCAGGAGCTGGAGGAGAGCGGCTGGTCGGGCTCGCCACCGGGAATGGCCTCCCGCTCCTTGGGCAGGTTGAAGCGGAGTGTGATCTGGACCGGGATTGGCAAAGTCTTCCCGCTGGCCTGGGCGGAGGCCGGCTGTAGAGATAGGTCCAGGGTCTTCCTTTGGGGTGGGGATGATGGTGGGATGGGGAAGGGGAAGAGGGGCCCCTCAACTTGGAGTGATCAAACCCCACCCTCTGACTTCTCAGGGACACAGGAATAGCCACTGGACTCTGGAAGCTACAACTGCAACTTGGACCCCATCTTTTGCAAGCTGAAGTCAAGGTAGGAGGTGCCACCTCCTGCCCATCCAGGAGCCCCTAAAGCCAAGAGATGAGAAGTAGGAGGCAGCAGAGAAGAGGTGAAGCAGGGGACCTACTCACCACCTCTCTCTCTGGAGAGCCAGGGCGGGACCCAGGAAGTCCGTTTTTGGTGGGAGTCTTGGCCTCTTTCTTGGGGAACTGGATCTTCTTTAGGTCCAGCCGCTCATGGGTCACCCATTCATCCAGGCGTTTGTTGACTGTAGCAGTGGGGATGGCTCAGGAAGGAATGCCAGAGGCTACTCCCAACCCTACCCCGCACCCCCACCTCACCCCAGGCCAGAACTCACAATCAATGTAATGGACGTAGAAAAGCTTCCGACCACTGATGTCCTTCACGCTCAGAATCTCAGCCAGAGCTATGGGAACAACACCAGCAGAGGCCTTAGACTGGTCAGGCCATGAGACTCCACCCTTCTACAACCTGAACTCCACCCCCAGGCCGGATCTCTATGCCCCAGGACTTGGAAGCTCTTGCCCAAGCCCCTTTAGTCACCAAGCGCTACCCCCTTTCCAAGCCCCGCCCTGTCCATCTCGGAACGGCTAAAAGCCACGCCCTCCCTTAGCAGCACTACCTGCCCCGCCCGCTACTGTATTCCGGAGGCCCCTCCCCCTCCTGGGGGTTCGGTTGATTCCCTCCCGCCCCTCGCCCTCTGGTTCCTTAGCCCCGCCCCCCGACGTCACTCACGCCACTCATCTTCGTTGTCCTGATTCCGCCGCAGCACCGGTAGGCGGCAGCCCTCC